TTCATCCTGTATCCCATCTTGGACTCCCCCTTGCCAAAAGCAATGCCACAGTTCTCTCAGAAAAGTTACTTCACTGGACAAATGGAATGCATTTATTCAATTTAACTGGTTGCGTAAAAACACATCAATGGGTTCATTGCTATGATGCCTTACTAGGCATCTTGGTCCAAGATGTTCTTGAACATACAGTAATTGCTGTTAAATCCACTGTTTTAGTGCAAATCACCCACGACTCCTTCTGCCTCCACATGTCCTACACACATTTAACTATCCTTCATCTGGAATATTCATTGGCCATAAACTGGAGTTTGGGAAAGCCTTCTTTCTGTAGACTACATTTAATTGATTGCTTTGGAAAGGAATTTTATTTGCATGATTTGATTAAAGATTACATGGTGGCTGCTCCATACTAGATAAATTCTGATATGGTCCAGGAATTTCATCTGGAAGATGAACTGGCCATTTCAAAATGGCTACATCTGTTTTCTAAGTTAAGTGAAGCAGTGATAAAAATTGAGAGGGCAGAAGAACAGATTAAAACGGTTGTGGATTTCAGAGCTAAGCAGATCATTAGAATCATGCAGGACATAAAATAAAACTCATGATGGGGCAGCTTATACTGGTCTGAAACTGGACTAGCCATTTTGCATCTGCTTACAAATCCTATTGCAATAATTATATGTATCCAAAGAGGTTTGAATCTTCTTCTGAGATGCAGCTGGGTATTATCACTGGCATTTTGCCACCAATGCTGCTTGGGGACATGGCATATGGTTGCCAGATCCCCAGCCTAGCAAGCAAAGGGTCAGCACAGAGCTGCCCCTTATGAGCACTCTGTTTAGCCATTCAGGGCCAGGATCTTAGACAGGAAAATGTAGTAACACTCCATTCCTGCTCAAAACAGAAGCACACAAAACCACATTTTACATCAATCATGCCATGTCACTTCTGCTTTTCCTTCTTGTTCTATCTTTGTATCTTTGCTGTTTTTGCAGAACCTTACCAGACTAGATCATAGAATACAAGTGAAAATGTGACCCTCATGATCTTGCTATGTGGTAAGTACCTTGAAGTTGGCTACCTTTTTCTCCTTATAGAAGACTTGGTCTTTAAACAGAAGTGTGACAATCCAGCACCTTTCTGGAGAAAGGCCACTCTATCTGGAAAATGCTGAGCTGGTTTCAATTAAAGGCATAAAACTTTGCTGGGTGGGTGGGGGAATGGTAGTCACTTAGGGAATAGGAAGAAATGGGTCATAAAAGGGATGGCTGAGAATTTCAATTTAGTTCATTTCTTGCAAGAAAATAACCAAAATTTACAAATCGCTGCATATCCAAGAGGGAAGAACCTAGGATTTCTTTTTTTAAATGAATGTTGAGGAAATGGTAATTGACAGATTTGTTCATTCAGGCCCAAGATGTTGAGTGTTTAGCCTTTAAAATAGTGGATTTGGATCTACATGTACTCAGTAGTATCAAATAGTTGATATATGGGGGA